AACTTTTAGAAACTTCTCGAAAGTTCTAGAAAATTCTCCTTTAGCAACTTAGGGCTGACCAAAGACAACAAAAATCAAAATTTTGTTATACAGTATTATTGATATCACCTGACAAGTAACATTTTTTTTCTCAGTCAATGCTTGTTTGTTGTTGCTCTGTTCCCATACTGGTACCTCTGTTGCAGGATATCCAAAGCCCCAAAAAATGTTTTTGGATTGAAAAATTTTATGCTTTGAGATAATAATGATTTTTGAAATTTATCTATTCTTATTGAGAAAAGTGGCAAAGGTGAACATTCTCGTTTATGCTAAGTAGGAACAAAATGGCACATTATTAAAAGTTTTTTTTTATTCTAGGATAACACAAGGAAGACGACATTTTTTTTCTGATTTAGGCTTATAATGTAAATTACTTTCATGAATCAATCCCAAAAATATAATCTTCCACCATGTTTTCATTATACAATATTTGGTAATCAGAATGTTCTGGAGATTCTTGAAACTTTTAGAAACTTCTCGAAAGTTCTAGAAAATTATCCTTCAGCAACTTAGCGCTGAATCTCTCTGGGATGTAATAGAAAATAGGTTAGTTTCAAAACTTCGATGTCTAGATCACAAAAGCAAAGTTTAAACAGAATCATAGTCATTTCCTTTGCTTTCTCGACAGACGCAATTAGGAAATAGGACTTGCTAACCAAAGACCAAAAAAGACAAAATTTTGTTACACAGTGTAATGTATATTATTTTTTATTGGCAGATCTGTTGTTGTCATAATGTGAATATTTAAAAACAACATGAATCAATTCCAAAAATATAGTCTTCTACCATGTTTTCGTTATACAATCTTTGGTAAACAGAATGTTCTGGAAATTCTTGAAACTTTTAGAAACTTCTCGAAAGTTCTAGAAAATTATCCTTCAGCAACTTAGCGCTGAATCTCTCTGGGATGTAATAGAAAATAGCTTAGTTGCAAAAAATCAATGTCTAGATCACAAAAGCAAAGTTTAAAGGAAATAATAGTCATTTCTTTACTTTCTAGACAGAAGCAATTAGGAAATAAGACTGACTGACCAAAGACGAGGAAAATTAAAATTTTCTTACAGTGTTCCTGATATCGCCTGACATCTTTTTTTCTCGATCAATAGTCGGTCAAAACCATTTGTTGCTGCTCTATCCCATGCTAATAGCTCTATCACATGTTTTCTAAAGGACTACAAATTAACCCATAGCTGGGAGGAGAAAAGATGGATACACATTTCCCGATGGTATTTAAGCGTAAATGAATATAACGAAAACAACTCGAACACGGCTCTCGTTATCCATTACACCACCCCGTACATCCACGCTTTCCGTGAGATAGATATATTCCTATAGCTTATGCCTTTCTTCCAATAATTGATGATCAATTCTTTTTACGAATTTGATAGTTCCTTGCCTATTCCCATGATGATAATAATTGTGTATGGCTTTTGTGTGTGAAGATAACGTAATATAAAAAATCAATTGCGCCATGTTCTAGATTGTTCCGGTAATAAGATAAATCAAAGAATTTAACAAAGAATTATGTAAATAAATGTCATTTAAGCCTTTTTATATTAAAGATATATGTTGTACGAATGCTTTTTTCGCCACGAAATTTTATAAAT